TCATCTGTATTTACAGCTGCTCCTCATCACTCGCATTACTGCCTGAGCTCTGCCTCCTGTCAGATCAGTGACAACGTTAGATTCTCATTGATGTGTGAACCCTATTGTGAACTGCGCATGCAAGGGATCTAGGTTATACACTCCTTATGAGAATCTAATACCTGATGATCTGTCACTGTCTCCTTCCACCCCCACATGGGACCATCTAGTTGCAGGAAAACAAGCTCAGGGATCCCACTGATTCTACATTATGGTGAGTTGTATAATTATTTCATCATGTATTGCGATGTAATAATAGAAATAAAGTGCACCATAAATGTAATGTGCTTGGATCATCCCGAAACCATCCTCTCCACTGCCAGATTTGTGGAAAAACTGTCTTCCATGAAACCAGTCCTTGGTGCCAAAAAGGTTGAAGACTGCTGTGTTAGAAGACATTTCTTATAAAGCTGAACACTGTGCTGCCATATTACCCAGCAATTGTACTCCTTGGTATTTATGCAAATGAGATGGAACATATGTCCACACAAACCCACACATGAATGTTTACAGCATTTTTATTTGTAATTGCTGAAGCCTAGAAGGAACCAAAATGTCCTTCAACAGATGAATGGAAAAGTAAGTTGTGGTACAATGGAATATTATGGTATACAATGGAATATTATTCAGTACCAGAAGGACATGAGCCATGAAAAGGCACAGAGGAACCTTAAATGCATATTACTAGGGGAAATAAGCCTGTCTGAAAAAGCTATACATTGTATGATTCCAGCCATATGGAATTACAGAAAAAGCAAAACTGTGGAGTGAAAAGATCGGTGATTGCCAGGAGCTTTGGGGCAAGAGAGGGATGAATAGGCAGAGCACAGGGGAGTTTTAGGGCAGTGAAACTACTCTGTGTGGTACTTTAATGTAGATGCATGGTATTATGTGTTTGTCAAAACCCATGGAACTGTAAAACACAGAGTGAACCCTAATATAAACTACAGACTCTAGTTAATAATACTGTATCAATATTTGACTCATCAATTGTAACAGATGTATCACAGTAATACAAGAATGTTACTAAAAGGGAAAACTGTAAGGGGTGGAGGTGGGCAAAGGGCTATTTGGGAACTCTGAACTTTCTGCCCAGTTTTTCTGTAAACTTAAAATCGTTCTAAAAAATAGTCTATTTGGCCGAGCACAGTGGCTCACACCTGTAATCTCAGCACTTTGGGAGGCCAAGGTGGACGGATCACAAGGTTTAATACCAGCTTGGCCAATATAGTGTTACTCCGTCTCTACTAAAAATACAAAAATTAGCCAGGTGTGGTGGCACGTGCCTGTAGTCCCAGCTACTTGGGAGGCTGAGGCAGGAGAATCACTTGAACCCGGGAGGCAGAGGTTGCAGCAAGCCATGCCATTGCACTCCAGCAGCCTGGGTGACAAAGTAAGACTCTGTCTTAAAAAAAAAAAAAAGTCTATCAACAAAGATTTAAAAAAAGGAAAGAGGAAAGGACAGAATAGAAATAAATGAAGGAGGAAAAAGGGCAGGAGGAAAGAGAAAGCCATGCATATACAATCTTGAGAGTGTAGCATGAAACCGTAATTATAATTAATTCTGTAAGCTTGTGTTACAAGTAAGCAAAAATATGACTAGCCACTCTTCTGCTTACTGACTCCTAGGGCTCCCCATCACAAGATACAGTTCAAGTTCTTTAGTATGATGTGAACATTTTTTGCTGCCTGCCTGCCACCTCATTTTCCAGCACCATTGCTGGTCATTGCCGTGTGTTACAAGCTCCAGCTGCAATTGTCTCTTTGCCTTTCTTTTCTACTCATGACACACATTTTCAGACCATTCTGCCTTTTTGCTCTTGCTGTTTCCTCTGCCTGTGTCTTTTCCCCTTCTAACCTAATCAAGTCCCACCTCCTCTAATACACTACCTTCTCTGTGAAAACCTTCCTGACCTCCTTTCACCCCAGCACAGCAAGCAAGAATGATCCCTCTCCCAGTTTCCACAGTTCCTTGTGCCCATCTCTTCAGTAAATGCATGGTACACCACAAAATAAATAACAAAAAAGGTTTCAGTGGAAAAACTGTGGACAGAAAAGCCAGATCAGAGCAGATTTAAGGAGTGAGTGGAAATTGAGATATGAGTACATATAATTGCTTTTATTGTGATGCTGTGTTGATGATTTTGATTTGTCTTTAGCATTTGGGTCTTTACCTAACAGGGGTTGAAGGTATTGAGAAGAAAATTCCTAGAGAGGCTGTGGTGCTGATAGACGTGTCTCACTGAATAAGGGCTACGTCTGGAGTGGTAAACCTTCTGGCCCCAGAAACTGTAATCCTCTGTTTTGAGGAGGAAGGGAGAGAGGAGAATGACTACATCCCTTCTCTGTTATCTCCTGGAGGGTCTGGAGCCATAGCCTGCCTCATCTATTTGGAAAGGAAAAAGAAACTTGCCCAAAGTAAGTGGCAGGGCTGGGGTGACTAGCTAAGTACCTCATATATTTCTTAAGGGACCACAGGCTCCTGAAGACCAACTGATGACTAAAAATAAATTGGTTATTGTTTTTTCTGTCCTTTGTTGAAAGGACATTAAAGGACAACTGTGTTCCTGGCTCCATGGTAGGCTCTGGGGATACAAGATGACCAAAATGGAGTTCCTGCCACAAGGAGTTCATATAACCAGGGAGACCAACCTTGAGCCAGTAACGCAGTTATGCTGTGTCTTAGTCTGCTTGAGCTACCATATGAAAATACCACACACTGGGTGGCTTAAACAGCAGAAATTTATTTTCTCCCAGTTCTAGTGGATAGAAGTCCCAAATCAAAGTCCAGCAGGGTTCAGTTTCTGGTGAGGGCTGTTTATTTGGCTCGCAGATGGCCGTTTTGTCCTCATGTGGCTGTTCTTCTGAGTGTGCACACTCAGAGAACATGTGCAAGCATGAATGCACTAATTCTATCAGATCAGGGACCCACCTTTATGACCAAATTCACCTTAGTTATATCCTATTTCCAAATATAGTCATACTGGGGGGTTAGGGCTTCAACATATGAATGGGCGCCTGGAGGGGAGGACACAATTCAGTTCATAGCAGGAGTTTATGTGGTCTAGCAGTGCTGGTCAGTCATAAGTTATTGTCCTCCATAAAAAGGGGAGGTCTCTACCTCTCAAGCCTTCTGCAGTCACATCTTTATTCAGTGATATGTGCTTATTCCTTCTATATGATGTTTACATCTATAATCAGCTTTTCTTGGTAGGGCATGTCACAGGTTTCCTGAATAATATTCGGATGTCACTCAGCTTTCCCTGCAGCAGGCTCTATGCCTCCTGCAGAGGTGGTTATTTCAAAGATTCAGTGACTATCACAGTTAAAAGAAGAGAGTTATTGTACTTTAAATGGTTCAAGAAATAAACATACTTGTTCCTTTGCGACAGTGGGGTGTATGTAATGAGTCAAGGGCTTGCTAAAGCGGAGCATGTCCATGCTATCATTTCTCTTCTTTTGCACATGGTCCTGGTGGGCAGCAGGTTCTGTGAGCAGTCAGTGCTGAGTGACCTCATGGGTGGTACTGTGTTAAGGGCCCTACCTGTGTCATTAGATCTTCTCAGGAGGAGGAAGTGTCCTGGAAGCTGTGAGAAAATGAACCACTCCTTGTTCTATTCTGTCCCACTCAGTTTACACGTATCTTCTGGCAACTGGACTTTTGGGCACTGATCGTGGCTTTTCAGTGGCCAGATGATGAGTTTCTTTAAAGTAGGGATTGAGTCACATTCCTCTCTGTTGCAGCATCACTCGTCCCCCAGTAGAGATCACAGTAACCCAGTAGTGATTGCTCTTGGATAAACGAGTAAGAGTGTTGTGGGGTTTTTGTTTTTTTTTGGAAGCTTGTGCTATTCTGCTGGCAATTTGTTTCCCCAGTGGGATTCAGCCTCTTTGCAATGCACCCGCCAGAGTCTCCGGCTATTCTCCTGCCGTTGGTGTAAGCCAAATGATGACCAAAGCAGGATTGCAGTCCATTCCATTGCCCAATTACCCTCAGAGAAGTAGGACAAGGCTTTAGGATGGCAGGTGGTAAGAGTGTTTGTGCTGACAGAGTAGAGTTATTTTTCCATCTCTGGGACCAACAATTCTATCTTTAGAAACAAAGAGGAAAATGTGGGGATATTGACTCAAGTCAAAATGAAAGCCCTCTCCTTTCTATGATCTCTCCAGGTGGGAGTTGGATTTCTGTTGCCTCAACAAGTGGGCTGGAGCACACGCTTGCAGTTTAGGGCAGTCGACAGAACTCAGAACAGCTTCTGAAGGGGCTCTGCTCTCTGTTTACTCCCTTCCCCCTTCCCTGCAGAGACTGTTCAGAGGAGCATTTGTGAGACAAACGCCAGGAACAGCTGCTCAGCCAGACCCTTGTCTCCTGTGCTGCTGCAGTCATTGTGCTGGAACTCTCTGCCGAGGAGGGTGGAGTGTCTGGACTCTGCTGCTTCCACAAAGCAAGCATTTTTCTGTTATCTCGGAGGCAGTTTGTTATAGATTTCAACCCTTTCTGCATTCCTCCCTCCCTTACAACACTCACATTCATCTTTTCTTGCATTACTGCTGAAAGAATGCAAACTTCGTTTCTCTGTCATCTGAGCGTCATTCAGAAATGTTCCTCTGATCTGTGAATTGTTCCCTGACTTCAATCGGGGCAGTGTTACAGGTCCTCTGCTGGCAGGAGGGAGCAGTCCATCAAAATCTGCAGACACAAGACTTTCAGAAGCTGTGACGAGCAGACTAACAAGCCACAAAACATTGCAAGCTGAATGGATATCTTAATAAGCTTTTAGATATGATTTGGCCAGCATCGGCAGAGGAGGCTAAAGGGAAAAGGCAGCGAATATTGTAACGTAAATCACTGCAGATTTGCTGGGAATGACAGCCTTAGGAAGCGAATGATCTCTCCAGGAAAGAATTGACCACAGTTATCCAGAAACTGAACACGATGTAGAACAGAGAGGACAGCCCCTCGGATGTGAGTACCATCTCTTCAACAAAAGGTTTGGAGCAGTAAGAACAAAGCTAGTTGTTATAGCTGATGGCGCTCCATAACCACTGGTTCCTGGATGCCTGTGGGCCATCTCTGGGTGGGTTGAACATAATGCCAGGTTGGGACTTTTATTTGCAGATCTCTTCTAGAATATTTTGCCTTTTGGGAGACAAAATGTAGTGGTTTTAGGATACTGACAAATTCTCCAAAGTACAGGAGAATTTGTTGTAAAGCCCCAAGAAAACAGCAAAAGCAAGCCTCATAGACCTTTTTCTGTAGAAAGAAAACCGATTGCATCACAGACCAAGGAGCTGTGTGACCCTCTGGTATTTGTAATGAGAGACAAAAGAATTGGCAAATTAGAGAGCAACAAAAATGGGGCAGTGGGCTGGGAGAAAGGAGGGAAATCTTAAGAAGCTAAATTCCTGTACCTAGATTCAGGATGTGCATTGCATACTTATGCTCAGGTATATATTTTCTTTTTTGCTTAAAGAATGGGCAGCATGTTTGCATTTAAGGTTTTCCTCTAGAATGCTGTGAAAAATGAGCATTGTGACAAAGAGGGATATAATTGATAGGCTTGGGGCAGAGTAAATTTCTCACTGCCAGCAATGGGAAGTATCTTGAATGATAGCTGATCTAGTTGGAAAGGAGGCTCAGATGTAAGGAGGGGATGAACTGCTACAGCCGAGGTAGCCAATAGGTTGGCAGTGTAGTTTAACTCATTGATGGCAGACTGGTTTCACCCCTCTGTTCCCTTCCCACTCCCAATTTATTGTCAGGGGTTCCCCCATCCCTTCTTAAACTGTCCCCCTGAAACACCACACCTCTGTCTGGTCTGATTTGTCAGGTCAAAGCATCAGATGAGAAGCGGAGTGTCTTCTCACTCTAAGAGATGGGGATCATTATTGTAAATGAGAGGTAAGGATTTGGGATTTAGGAACAGTGACCAGGAGACAGGGAGAAAGGTGGTGTCTCCTCTGGGCCTGCACCCACACCCAAGGCTGAAGATGCAGGAAGAAGCAGAAAGGAAGTAGAAAAGAAGACCCTTGTTTGATACCCTCCCACCCACACTGTGTGTAAATGCACCTACAGGTGAAGGCTGGCAGTCCTAGTAAGGAGGCAATTACTGGGCTTAAATTGAAAATGAGCTGTCCAAGGGCATAGGGATGGTGTTGGCAACAGACTAGGAATTGGAAAGCTGGGTCTCTGTTCTTGATCTTGCAGGCAGTTTTCTATGTGACTCTGGTAGGGGGAGTATCCAAAATCCTGCGTGAGGGACCCATTCTGGAGGCTGCTGGGGGTGCCTTGGCCATCTGTAGTGGAAGGGATGGGGTGACAGTGAGGCACATTCTTAAGTAGCTATAACTGAAAAGCAAAAAATAGAAGGATGTTTCTGCTTGTCCAATGTTCTCTCACCACTGTAGTATTTTTCTATCTTTAACCAAACAAAAAGAAAAATAATTGTGGGCTGTTCTTCCAAAGGACTGGTAATTATCTAAACAAGGCTATCTCAATAGCCTGCAGCTATGGCCTAAGTGTACCTCAGTGTCAGTATCCGGGAGACTGAATTCATTGCATGGGACTGGAGGGTGGGGAGTGGCTATCAATTTACTATGGGCCGGCCGGACCCCTGTATCCATTGCTGAGGAGGCTGCACAGCACTGCTGGTGTGGAGCTTGTGACCTCAACTGATGGGCTGTACTGAGGTTGCAGCAAAGAAACTTCTATCCTCAGGGGCTAAGCCGTGGAGGAGAATGAGTAGAATTGTAGCCATGATAATATTTGTATGAACTGGACTGTTGTACTGTAGACATTCAAATGCCCATTGCAAGAAATGTTCTAGAATGGAAGGGGGCTGTTGGGTCTACTGTCTAGAGATAACAAATGGGTAGATAAGGGGGAGGGTGTGGTTGTGGAGGGAAATCATTTCAGAAGTCATGGCTAATCCTCTGTATTTTCCTGCCATTTGGGCCTGGAGTGATTTTGTAATATTTGGGCAAGCAGAGCAGAAGCTCAGTATAATTGGTTTGAATGTACCACAGGTTACCTAAATGAAAACAGACAGCGCACCTAGGTTTATAAAAACAAACCACTTGCAAATATTGTAACGGTCTGGGAAACACAAAGCCCAGACTGTAGGTGTTCAGGGCAACCATGAGAATTTTCAAAGGCATTTCTAATTCCATTTCTTTCCGTGTTTTGAGTCTCAAATTTATTCCTTTTTTTTTTTTTTTTGGGCTCATTCTACTTCTGGCATATCCCAGGGTTCTCTGACTGTGACTCATCAAGCGGCTTTAGAGCAGACCCTTTTCCAGATTTGTTGTGCTTCTAATGACCCAGTGAGTAGGAGCAGGATGGGTTTGTGAGGGTTCCTCTCTATTTCCCTGCTATTCTTGCCCTGCATTTTGAGCAACAGATGGAGAACGATGAGAAAGTTTGATAATTCACCAGAGTATGGGGCAAAAATTATCTTTCTGAGGTTATATGATTCACATCTGGCCCACACTTTCACATAATAAAATACCCTCGTTAATACTCACCACAGTCCTGGGAGATAAATGTTATTCTGTTTTACACGTGGGCATTTAACCCCAAGCCTCCCAGAGTGGTTGGCCAAACAACCTGCCTGAATGCCATCGTTAACGAGTTAGAATGGGATATGGTCCAGGGCTTTCCAGCCATATCATGGCCAATTCCTTAATCTTTAGAGACTGAAAGGACATTTGAGTGTGCCTGGGAACAGATAAAAAGGATGGCTGCATCTTCCAGACCTTCAAAATTAGGATGCGTGGTAGGGTTTGGGTTGAAGAGTGGTATCTCTGTTACAGCATTTTCTTTCCATTTGTATATACTAGTATTTTTAATAAGTGTCTTTTAAAATACAAAGAAGCCCTCACTTCCTTGCTGTTCTAGCAGGAATGGATTAGACATTTAAGTATTCCTTCTTCAGCCCAAAGAACCCTTCACCCTTGAAATAATTACCAATGGCTTTGGTTGGGTTTAATGGTGGCCCAGGTATAGTGGGGGGAGTCCCAGTCTTTAAAATTCTATTCATTTTACCATGTGGTAGGAAGAATTCAGTTTACTAGTAGTTACCACCCTCCAGACCACTGCTCTGTGACAGGGCTTTAGTGCTCCATAGGTGGTTTTGGAGGCCATTTCTTTTCCTCCTGTTAGCAAGAAAGCAACATGACCAGCCTCCTACATTGGCAGGGCCACTGTCAGTGTTTAGCATCTGTGTTGTCCCCAAGGTGGATTGTTTCAGCCACTTGGAACCAGAAATCAGTCCGGGCCTGTGCCCAGCTCTCCATCTGTTTCAGAACTGGAGAACTACAGTATTTACAGTGAGAAAAGGATGAAGGGAGAGAACTGCAGTAAATGCTGGGAGAAAACCCCAAAGAGAGAACACACTCAGCAGGGTCTCTGTGGGGTGTGTTCCACAGGCCGCTGACCCACTGGGGAAGCAGTGTGTTAGCCATAGTGGACCCACAAAACCCAGCCAGGGGGCCTGTGGTGATCACATACAGTACAGTTCCCTGCCAAAGGCAGTGTATAAACCAGGTGGTGCTTAGGGGATTATACCAGGCCTCCGCTCCCTGGGAGAAAAACAGAGCAAACCTTGCAGTTCTGGCCGTACTCTTCCGGAGGATGTCCCTAATAGGGGAAGAAGGAAGGGAGGGAGGTTGGCGTATTCTGCTGCCTTCTGGAAGTTCTGTTCAGGGGCTTTGCTATGGAGTGAGCTTCCTGTGTGTCTTGCCTCCCACAGCTCCCCTCCTACAACAAGCAAGCAGCAGAATGCCTTAAAATCAGAAAGAAGAGGTGTGACCTGTCCCTTGTGTGTCAAGTGGCCCTGATGGCAGCTTTGTTTTGTAACCCCTAGGTTCTGAAGATGGCATATTCATAAAGACATCTTCTGATGATTGTGAACATCTTTACCCGTGGGTGCCAGCCCAGGCCAGTGACTTCGTGTTGAGCTGAAGGAACTTGTCTATCGCCTCCCTGAAAACCTTTCTTTCCTAATTCATGAGCCAGCAAGATGCGGTCGCTGCACTTTCAGAACGCCTTCTCATAGCTGCTTACAAAGGCCAAACAGAGAATGTGGTTCAGCTCATCAACAAGGGCGCCAAGGTAGCGGTTACCAAGGTAACAACAGAAAAATACGCTGTAGCCATTCCCTGGGAACTGGCCTACTTCTTAACCATTGTCCGAAAAACTGCTGTGTTTGGTTCGCAGCTTTCAAAGAATTGGTTTTTCTTCCAGTGATGAGGTTTAGGGAGAAGGAGAATTAGTAAGAATGCTTTCATTGCCATCTTTCAAGTGGAGCGACTTGTAATTAGCATTTGACGGTCTTTAAAATCACTGTGGCTTTTCTCACCTATTTCTTTAGCCAAATGGGCAGGAGATCTCTTGGGATAAGTTGGGACACTGGACAGAGTGTGCAATAATCACGTTAGATAGGCCTGGGGAGGTGGACCAGCTTGTGCACAGCCCCTCCACTGTGCAGAGTCTCATTGTCCCCATCTGTATCATGATGGCCTAGACCAGATGACTGCTACAACTTCTGTAGACTTTGATTTCATGTGGGTCAGTGAAGATGTGTGGTAAGCTTTGGAGGGCATTGCTTAAGATGAGAGACCATACTTGCCAAAGGCAGTTTTGTAGCAAAGCCAAGAAAAGGCAAACTCTGTGCAGCTAGATGGAGAGTTTAAATACACTGGCAAAGTAACACTGATAGCAAGCACTTATTGAGCCCTAGTATTGCTGTAAGCACTCTACAGGCTCAATAAGGATTCTCTTCTCGTCTCTGCTTTGGAGATGAGGTCCCTCAGCCACTGAGTGGTGGAAATGCAACTGGTACCCAGAATCTGGCTCCAAAGCCCACCCTCCAGACCTTCCCAGTAAGAGCTGTGGAGAGGGGCAAAGTTTATTTTCAAGTAGGATTATCTGTTAACTTCTGACCTCCTGTGGCATATTGGCCAGCTCTTATTTTCATGGTTACTTACATGCAGTCTTCACATTCCATGCCGGCCTCCAGGGAGGTCTTGAGCTACTTGTAGGTTCCCCATGGAGTTGAACAGCTGTCTGCACATAAATGGTGGTTGGATTGTCTGAACTGAGGGTGAAAGGAGCCTTAACTCAGAACTCTCGTGATCTATCCATAGCACTTTTCAGGGCTTAGGCAATCACAAATGGGAGAAAGTGCGGAACTCTGTAGTTAGGGCACATACTCACAGATTTTAACTCTGCTTTGTTTGCTAGTTGTGCAAGTTGCTCAACTTCTTTCAGCTTCAGTTTCTTATCTGTAAAAGAGAGATAATGTCAGCTTTTCAGGACTGTTGTAATAACAATAACTTATTTAATGGACTTAGTGCATAGTCTGCAAGTTTTCTTCTAGATAGACAACAGCTTTATTAAGGTTTGATTTATGTACATTAAATTCACCTATTTTAATTTTACAATTTAATAATTTCTAGTGTATTTACATCACCACTGCTATGCACTGAATTGTTTCTCCCCCATATTTGTTTGTTTCAACCCTAAGCCCTAGTGGTATTTAGAGATAGGGCCTTTGGGAGGTAATTAAGTTTAAATGGGGTCACGAGAGTGGGACCCTTGTGATGAAATTAGTTTCGGTATAAGAAGAGACACCGGGGTCTGCTCTCCCCCTCCCTACTATGTGAGGACACAGTGAGAAGGTGGTCATCAGCAAGCTAGGAAAAGGGCCCTCTCCAGAACCTGACCATGCGGATACCCTGAACTCACATTTCCCAGCCTCCAGAACTGAGAAATAAATCTCTGTTGTTCTGGCAGCCTAAGCAGATTAACACAAGCAGGTTCAAATATTAGAACATTCCTATTATCACAATAAAAATTTTTTTTCGAGACAGTCTTTCACTCTGCCTGTTGCTCAGGCAGGAATACAGTGGCACAATCTCAGCTCACTGCAACCTCCACCTCCCAGGTTTAAGCGATTCTTGTGCCTCAGCCTCCCCTGTAGCTGGGACTACAGGCACATAACACCACACCTGCCTAATTTTTGTATTTTGAGTAGAAATAGGGTTTCACCATGTTGGCCAGACTGGTCTTGAACTCCTGACCTCAGGTGATCCACTTGCCTCGGCCTCCCAAAGTGCTGGGGTTACAGGTGTGAGCCACTGTGCCCAGCTCCCAATAAAAATCATCATACCCATTAGCTGTCACTCCCTATTCCCACCAGCTCCTGGCAACCATGAATCTACTTTTTATCTCTATAAACTTACCTTTTCTAGGCATTTTATATAAATAGAATCATGTGGTATACAGTTTTTTGTGTCTGACTTCTCTCAGTTAGCATAAAGTTTTCAAGGTTCATCTCTGTTGTAGCAAATATTAATACTTCATTCCTTTTCATGGCTGATTAATAATCCATTGTATATATATATATACCGTATTCTGTTTATTTCTTTATTAGCTGATGGACATTTGGGGTTGATTCCAGTTTGGGACCATTATTAATAATGCTTTTGTGAAAATTGATACACAAGTTTTTATGTCAGAAATATGTTTTCAGTTCTCTAGAGCATATTCCTAGGAGTGGAATTGCAGTATATTCCTAGGAGTGGAATTGTCATATGGCAAATCTGTTTAACACATTAAGAAACTGCCAAGCTATTTTCCAGAATACCTGTACCATTTTACATTCCACGAGCAATGTATGAAGATTTCAGTTTCTCTACATTCTCACCAGTGCTTGTCTGTCTTTTCTCCATTATTTGCCTTTTTATAGTTATCATTATTAAAGTTTCACATGCCCAACATTTTAAAACTATTAGTTCAAATACTGCTAAAGGTTTTTAATAAATACAGTGATCCCTTAGCCGATTCACATTTACACTCCGAAGAAACAACTTTCAACCTTCTAGATGTTTTTTTTTTCTGGTATTTCTCTCCATATTTCCAATGAGTATGTATGTTCTACCACCTGATTCATCAGTTTAATTTTTGTAATGAAGTCACATTTAATATATTATATATGTTATACTCATATGTGTGTGTGTGTCTCTCTCTCTATATATATGTGTGTGTATATAGTTTTTTAATTAATTTATTTATTTTTAAGATATGCTCCCCTCTGTCACCCAGGCTGGAATGCAGTTGCATGAACTTGGCTCACTGTAGCCTCCACCTCTTAGGCTCAAGCAGTCTTCCCGTCTCAGCTCCCTGTAAGCAGGGACTACAGACATGCAAATTGTTAATACAGGGTCTCCCTATGTTGCCCAGGCTGTTCTCAAACTCCTGGGCTCAAGTGATCCTCCCTCCTCAGCCTCCCAAAGTGTTGGATTTACAGCCATAAGCCACCATGCCCAGCCTCTCTTTTATGTTTTTAAAATTTATTTATTGTGGTAAAAATATATATATTAAATTTACAACTTCAACCACTTTTAAATGTATAGTTCAGTGGTATTAAGTACATTCACATCGTTGGGCAACCATCACCACCATCCATCTTCAGGAATTTTTCATCTTCCCCAACTGAAACTGTATACCCATTAAACACTAACTTCTAATTTCTTTCTCCCAGACCCTGGTACCCACCATTCTACTTCCTGTCTCTGAATCTGACTGTTAGTCGTACCTCAAATAAGTGGAATCATACCATAGTGCCCTTTTGTGATTAGCTTGTTTCACTTAGCATGTTTTCAAGGTTCACTCATGTTGTAGCATGTACCAGAATTTCACTCTTTGTTAAGGCTGAATAATAATTCATTTTATGTGTATACCACATCTGGTTTATCCCTTCTTCCACTGATGAACACTTGGGTTGCTACCACCTTTTGGCTATTGTGAATAATGCTGTATGAACGTAGGTGTACATGGGGGTTTGAGTCCTTGCTTTCATATATTTTGATTATATACTTAGAAGTGAAATATGGTAGTCTGTTTTTAAAGTTTTGGGTAACTTTGCATTCCATGGCTGTTGCACCATTTTACAATGCTACCAACAGTGCACAAGGGTTCCCATTTTTTTCACATCCTTGCCAATACTTATCTTGTGTTTTTACCGACCTCCCTAATGCGTGTGAGGTGGTATCTCACTGTGGTTTTGATTTGCATGTCTCTGATCATTAGTGATGTTAAACGTCTTTTTATATGCTTGTCTGCCATTTGTATATCATCTTTGGAGGAATGTCTATTCAAGTTCTTTGCCAATTTTTAAATCTGATTATTTGATATTTTTTGGTGTTGAGTTGTAAGTTCTTTGTATATTATAGATATTAATCCTTTATCATATATTTGATTTGTAACATTTTTTTCTCATTCTATGGTTGCCTTTAAGAATACTTTTTGAGAGCAGTTTTAGATTCACAGCAAAATTGAGAGAAAGGCACAGAGATTTTCCATGTATCTCCTACCCCTAAACATGTATAACCTACCCCATTATCAACATCCCCCACCAGAGTGATACATTTGTTACAACCGATGGGCTTATGCTAATGCATTATTAATACCCAAAGTCCATAATTTATATTACTGCTCATTCTTGTACACTCTGTGGATTTGGAAGAATGTATAATAACATACATCCACCAATATGGTGTCATTTAGATTATTTTACTGCCCTAAAGTTCCTCTGTGCTTCACCTATTTATCCCCTTCCCTCCTCCCACCCCAATCCCTGACAACCACTGGATCTTCTTGTCTCTGTAATTTTGCCTTTTTCAGAATGTCATATTGTTGGAATCATACAATATGTAGCCTTTTTATATTGGCTTCTTTCACTTAGTAATATGTGTTTAAGTTTCTTCCATGTGTTTTCATGGCTTGATAGTTGATTTCCTTTTAGGACTGAAAAATCTTCCATTGCTTGGATATACTACAGTTTTGGAAGCATTCACCTACTGAAGGACAGCTTGGTTGCTTCCAAGTTTTGGTAATTATGAGTAAAGCTGCTATAAACATTGATGTGCAGTTTTTTGTGTGGACATACATTTTCAACTTTTTTCATTAGATACCAAGGAGTGCAACTGCTGGATCGTGTGGCAAGAGTATGTTTTGTTTTGCAAGAAACTGCTGCATCCCTTCAGCAATGAATGAG